AGTCCCGCTGAGGGCGTGGATGAGACCTAGTTGATGCAGAAACGGCAGCGATATGAAACCTATTCGTATCATTATTGGAAAATTCGACTACTATTCCTTCATCACCTTAAAGAAAACACACTTCAGATATATGAAGTAAGCAGCGTTTGTATTAGGCTTCAGCAATTTAAGCAAGGTGACAAGTGATATTAACGAAGATAGAAATCGTATGGATAAATTGTGTTGGTTCCTTCCTTATCAATCTTAAAATAATCTTGGGTGAAGTAATGATGCATCAAAGGTTATCTGAAGAAGATATGTAAATTTGGTAATGCCTCATTTCTACCTCCACGAATGAGGTAATTATACATAAGTCGTGCAATGCAGAAAAAATTGTGCTCTGCTTTTCGGCCGAAACGGACGCAAATGAGCTGGCCTGCCCTCAGGGCCCATTATAATTGACACGCGCATGCAGTTTATTCATCTGAGGGTCGGTCACAAGACTGTCCGATTGAATCAGTCGGCCTGCCTTTAACCTCTTTTTTTATTAGGCCGAGCATACCAGTTTGGGCAGATAGCATACAGTCGTGCAACTGTTGCATCACCAAAGTTTATTTGCATCCCGGTCAGGTCTATCCCCCTTCTCATTGTCATTCTCTACTCTCATTATCTTCTCCTCATTCACAAATGCACACAAACTACCGAACGAACACGAAGAAACATGAGAATACACAAGCCAAAAACAAACATATCTATCTATATAGATAGATGGATATATTCATATATGTAGTCATTCCGACTGTTTGCCTTCTAATTTGGACGGAATCCGTAGGGCATTTGCTTAATAATACGTTTGTTAAGGCATAGGGCTAGACAAAACAAGTGTTAGGCCATGTGAGGCTGAGCCAAGACATGTGTTTTTAGCAAGAGTCAACAAAGCATCGTTCCATCTCTTAATAATTTTAGCCTGATTTATCCTCACAAACGGCAGGACAACGTCAAATCCATTGTCCATCGGCCGGTCGGTCGACCATTCATACCGGACATGAGAACCTCGGGAGGCCGCCTCAAATGTCGTCATACCTCCACTCGGTCCCTGTCTGCCTGCGCCACCACGACCCCCACTTGCTGACTGCATAACCAGGTGCTACACTCTGTTCAATCTCCTGGGGTCTGTTGTACT